AAAAAGAACGACAAAATAACCAATGCTCATTTTGAAGAATAATCTGCGAAAAATTGTTGAAGCTGAAAACTCTCAGATGACCATCGTTCGCATAATATTTCTAATGGAACTTGTTTTACTATTGTTACTGATCTCATCAGTCTGTAAATTACTCCGTAAGAAATGATATTAGTTTGAAAAATCAGAATCCTGACTGGAGAGTTTGCTCCGAGCCTACTCTATTAAGGATAACATTTGGAATCTAGGAATAATCGTAAAAAAAATTTATTCTGCTACCTAAAATACGATCTGCTTGAAAAGCGATTCCACAATGAACATTAATAGTGATTTCCCGTTTTCTGAAATGACCAAGATTGGTAAGTTGCCCATGAGACATCTCTGTGGCAGCAATAGAGTAAAAGAAAGAAGATTTCAACTACACTAGAGAAAAATGAAAGTTTTCCGATACTAAGTTGCTCTGAAGGGGTACCATTACAACCATTGCTGTCTCCTTTCACGATATCACAATATAGAATATTCATGATTCACAATTTTTCAGTCATATTGTACTCTTGAAAACAACGGTCAAACTCAGTCAAGGACATTAATCATGGGTACATTATATTTAAAAAAAGTATGAAACTAAAGAAATAAAGCCAAAATACTTTTCTTCAGATGATAATGTTCACTAAAGTGCCGTCTATGAGAAATGTATTTAATAAATAATATTCTCTTTCAGTCTTCCTTCTGTTGTCTCGAGCGCTATGCTAAATCAATTAGAGTATATTCATTGCACGTTAAGAGAAGTCATATTTCTCTCATTTTTCTCACACAAACAGACATTGTTAAAGAAAAAAGAGAGTTGATGCTGATTATCATTATGAGCTATTTCTTTTCAGGTATTCTGTTATGTCTCTCTTTATAATAGAAATGTCAGTTGCCATTTGAATTCATTATATAAGCAGACATGTACTCATGATTAAATAGACGAAAGCTCGAGTTCGGTGTATAATAGATTGTGTAGACATTGGGATAGGAATTCTTGATTCTAACATCAAGAAATCGTTTAAAAACAAGATTCACTATTCATAAACATCTCGAAGATAGCAAAATATCGTCGAGTTCAGATATTTGAGATTTCGCTTTGCCCAATCTTTGATTTTTTTCTCGATTGAGTGGCAATCAAAACTCATTCATCACGTATGAATAGTATGTTATGTTGCAGATGAGGAATGCTGAGTACAAGATGAAGAATACTCTCTGAAGAAAACTATTTGAATATCGTTTCGTAAGCAGTAATCTTTGTCATTTTCTCTACATTTAACAGAATTTTCGTTAAAACCAACGCTAAAATTTGTGTTAAATCAAATTTTAAGAGTGTTTCACGAGAAAAATACGATTATATTTCCATTTTTAATGGAAAATGATTGACTTATTCTTGTTGAATCTAATGTCTGTTTTCATCTAGTAAACATTTCAATGTGTTTTAACGGATATTTTCATAATTAACGAAATTCATGTAATTATTTGCCGTTAATTATACTATTCGTTTTCATCCGGAAAATTTTCTGATCTACCATGTCGTCTATTTATTAATGCGCTTTAGAAGAAATTCATTTTCAAAACAGATAAATGTAATTCTGTATTTCCTATGTTTTCTCCGTTTCAGAGATCCTAAGGTTTCCACTTGAATTATATACTGCCTATGTAAGTGTGTAGAAAAATAATTCATATTTCTTGCCAGCCCTTATAAATTGGACCACGCGCTATTAAATATATACATATGAACCAAAATGTATTTTAGAGGGAACTAGTTTGCAAATATCTCCAAGTTATCTTATGACTAGAGACCGATCTAAATATAACTACTATTAGAAAACTTAATTTGATTTCCTATACTGGAAAACTTAGTCATTATTTATATCTCATCACAGACGAGAAATATAGAATTGAGTCTGAGATATCTTTTTTTTTCTTTTTCTATTTATACAGATGTAGGATATTAGTCTGCGATGAAGTATGAATAAGACTGCACTGCAACTTTTATAGGAAATCAAATTAAATTTTGTGATTTTAATTATATATAAGTCGGTCTCTGATTCTAAGATATTTTGGAAATACTTTCAAAAACTAGCGCTCTATATTTGTACATTTCGGCTCATACTTCAACAGTGGTTTGCGACGAAACACTTCTCTCACATTTTTGAAATCAGAGAAACCAGAAGGTTCATTTTTGTACAACCTTCATGAAATCATTCTAGGTTTCATCGAACTTAAAATCATCACTATTGTATAATTTAGTGAACGAACTTTTTGTTTGTCAAAAGATCAAGGGTATTTTTTTTTTATTGAGCTTGACTTGAAAGTTTTCAGAGTAGCTCATTATTAAGTTTAGCTGAGTTAACGTTTTCGCTTATAGACTTTACATCTAATATAAAAATTGGTATTAATGATATGTATGATAAGCTTCCCTCAGTGATCGATATCTTTTTAAGTTTCATTCTCTTGAAGAAAATCCAGCTAAATAGTTCAATATTGGATGTAGTTTCCGATAAATGCTTAAGAAAACCTTATTATCACTACGATCTTTGCTTAATAGATAGGAGAAGCAATCAGCAAATAGAATAATTTTTTTTTGTCAATATGTGGAGATATAAACAAGTTATAGCCTTCTCATTTTTGCCATAGTGTATTACAGATTTTTAGCATATATAAAAATACAAACTCATAGAAAGTAAAGCTATAACTCGTTTAAACCTTGAGATATCGACAAAAATCATTCTATTTGCTGATTGCTTTCGCTATCTATTAAGAAATAATCGTAGTAATAATAAGATTTTTTCAAACACTTTATTATAAATTACAACCATTTTCGTTAAATTGACAAATATTTTCATATGGGCAGCATCTGACACATTTCATCTTGAGCATATTACTCACAGCATAACTGACATAAGACTCATTCTGAACTGATGTTATTTCTAGACTTACGAACTTTGCATTGCTGTGGCATAACATCATCAACCAGTTTGAAATGGAAACAATGTCAGCATCTGTCACGTATGTCTTTATCATCTATATCATGTCAAGTGTCTAGGTATTGTTCTCTGCAGAAGTGAAATGTCCACACGAAAGTTGTTGCTTGTCTTTGGCTCAATTGTTGGTTCAGTGCTCATGGTTGCAGTAACTGTCGTAGTAATACTTTTGTTTCGAAGTGAACAATCAGTTCGGAATACGACAAGAGTCTCCTCGAGTATGTGTATATGCATGTATCTTGTTGATTATCAAAGTAAAATAAGGTCGACATGGTGATGTATGATGAAGACACTTCGCTCACTTGTATACTTTCGCTTTGACTTAATTAGTACACCGTAAGAACAACGAAGAAAAGTAGTATCGGAAGGGCAGTGGATGGTATACGACTTTTTTCGACAAGAAGACGAAAGCAGTTGCATCTATATTCAACTGAACATATCTAACCTCCAACAACGTCCAGAATTGCGAAAAAGAAAATTTCACCGACACATTTTCAGAAATATTGCCATCCTTCCAAACTTCCGACAACGCCATTTTTTTTTGGAAATTCACAAATTTACAGCTTTTTCGTTATGAACCATGCCCTAGTTCGGATGATGCTGGATATCGTAGAAATTCTCGTCATTTGCTTTGTTGAAAGTTGACATCTAAGCAGTTCTCCAATGACTCATCTGATTTTCAGTGACGATCGAAGAACAATTTTATCAAATACTATTCGAACTTAGACCTAACGTTCGGATTCTTTTCTAAGTAGCAAACTCCAAGTGACAATCTGTGACAGGGGAAAACAGCATTATTTTTGTTGTTCTATAGCAAAAATTGTCTTTTGGGTGTGTGAGTTAAGAAATTAGCAACTTGAAGCGATGCCTACTTAGTTAGAAAATAACACTATCTGCATGTGTTGTGTATGTTAGAAACAACAACAAGACTGACGACTATCAACACTACACGGATCATTACGACTGCGACAGGTCAGTAGAAAAAGTCGATTTAGAGAATACATTAGACCATGGTGCAATATTCATTCATAATATAGCTCATTCGATACATTTTAGGTAGACTATCAACTACCGTGATTAACAATACTTCCACTATGACTAGCACACGTGAGTACCTATATTGGTTCGACATGGTGTTGAGTACGTAAGGAAGAAATAGGTTCACTTCATTACTGTGAAAAGTACAGCTGCTAAAGTTCAGCATCTAATTAAATTATGCACCAGTCTTCAAGAACATTTTCTTGATTCAAACAATATGTACTAGGTAGAAAGTAATATTTTTCCAGGAAGATAACGCTATAGCTTCAAATAGTATTAATATCAAACTTTATATCAAATTAAAGTGCGTCAAAAATGGACTTAATCAATACTAGATAGGAAAAGTTATTATAACTTTTCAGTGTCGAATTGAAGAAGTCCTAGAACTTTACGATATATCAGTACAGAAAGGTCTCTCTACGATACAATTCACGCTAAAATCTCATTTGAAATGATGAATATAAAAAACGTTATCGGTATCTGATATGAAAACATGGGATCCATAATTAAAAATGAAGCTAAAAAGATGCTAAAAAAGCACATTTCAAATGTTTTTGATAGACATTAAGTTATGTGAAACTCTTCCTATTTAGTACTGATAAATGCCATTTTTTCACGCGCTTTCTTTCGGTAGACACTTTATTATTGATAGTATTTGCAACACCATCGTTTTGTTCCTGAAAAAAATATTATTTTCTACTTCGTACAGACAGGATATTACAAGTAGAGATATAAAGTAAGAAAATGAATTCCTATGCTGCTCGTTAGTTTCAAAAAGAGTAAAATAGATAAGTTTTCTCTGTAACATGTCCTGTATTCAGTGTAAATGATCTTTATTGGTGTCCAGGTCACATCTGCAGCGATCTCACATTCAACCAGCAGTACTTATATAGAATAGGAAATGGCAGCTTTGGAGTTGCTCTTGGTGATTTTAATGGCGACAATCATATGGATCTTACTGTTTCCAGTTACTGCGAAAATCGTCTCTACATTTTTCTTGGCTATGGCAATGGAAGCTTCAGATTACCAACAACTCTCATGACTCTTACAAATCCATTTAATGTGGTTGTCGACGACTTCAATGGAGACAGTCATGCAGATATAGCTGTCGCTCAGATTGGCAATGGTAGTGTAGGTATTTCACTTGGTCTTGGTGATGGTACTTTTCGTTCACAAAATTCGATCGCAGTTGACTTCGGTATGTCTTTGGTTTCTGTCGGAGATTTTGATGGTGATCAATTTCTTGATTTGTTGGTGCCCAACAATGTCGCCAATACTGTTAGTGCTCTCCTTGGTTATGGTGACGGCTATTTCGCGTTGCCAATATCTTTTCCTGCAGCCATGAGTCCAATCACAGCCGTTGTAGCTGATTTTAATCACGATAGTCTCTTAGACTTCGCTGCCACTAACTATGGCAGTAATAGTGTGAGCATTTATCTTGGCTATGGCAATGGTACTTTCCAAATATTAGTCTCGTATCCCACCATGAGCAATCCTTGGGGACTGGCTGTGGATGATCTGAATAGTGATCAACATATGGATCTAGTTGCATCAAACTGTGCAAACGGTACGATCAGTGTGCTACTTGGCAACGGGAATGGCACGTTTCAAGCAGCGGTTCACTACACGGTTGGAATCTGTTCGTATGCCATTGCAATAGGTGACTTGAATGGTGACACTTATTTGGATGTCATTGCTGTTGGAAGCCTTGCTAATTATTTTACTGTATTTCTGGGAGATGGAACTGGAACCTTTTTCGGGCGGTGGTCTTTTGCTACAGATTACATTCCAACATCGTTGGCTCTCTATGATTTCAACAATGATGTTCGACTTGATGTCGTGATTGTTCACGCCACGGGCACTGTATCAGTATTACTGAGCAAATGTTAATGTCTTAAAATTTGTCTTGAACTGAACTCTTAGAGAAGAGACTGCACTCAACACCACTACAGTTAACTATGCTTCATTTGCTCGTTCATCTGTCTTACTCTCAAAATAAACGATTTATGATAAAAATCAGAAGACATTCTTCGGTGGATGAAATTTAGTAGTTCATTCTTAACTGACTTAGCCTTTCAAATGGCTCGAAGGTACTAGGCATTATTGTTCAACAGCTGTCATTCTGATAGTGAATAAATAAGTGAGAATGAACGTTGAAGAATAGGAAAGTTCAGACTCTGTTTTATCTCTGTATTTAGTTAGTCATTTGAAAAGGAAAAATTCAAATATATTTTCAAAATTTCCTAATTTTCTTCTATTCTCGAGCAACTTACATGATTGGAATTCAGGCGAGCGATGATTGTTTCATCAGAGAAATCAATGGATAGATCTGGTCATGCTGTAACTAGATTTCCAATGAACCATACTTGTTTCATGCTGATCTTCACTCTCGTCTTTCAATAACTCAAGATTTATTCTACCTTCAATGTATGAAATATTAAATCTCGAAGAAAGAGGAAATAGTATGCATTCAACTTTCAAAATCACCTGCAAGGGAAAAAATTGTTGTGAAGTCGTCATTTGAAATTTTATTCAAATCTAAATAGATATTGTCTTACGATCATTCAATCAGATTTCATCATCCATTATGACAAGAAAGTTGTTAAAGATGCAATCATCATCAATACTAAAACGATAAGTGACTACATAATTCAACCGATCATATACAATCTCAATGAAGAAATAGTCCAAAAAACGATCGTAAAGGAACATGTATAGAATTATATAAAAAAAAAAAGAAAACAAAGTCATCATGCAAATTGTCGAACTCAATTCTCGATGAGACCGTATTTTTCGAGTGTTTAGATGGCATTTCGATACTCAATTTCATCAAAAGACTTACAAATAGTGAAACAGACATTCACAGATAACTAAGTAGTAAAGTGATGTGCAATGTTTCCATTGGAAATTTAAAACATGATATTTTCTTGAACATTCTTTGAACGCGTACTCTGGTTTTTCTTTATAAACAGTATAGCATAGTATGAAAAACTGAAGTGTATCAAACATTATAGAATAAGACCAAAAAATGCCGTCTTTTTCATTATTAGATAAGAAAAATTACTGATTGATTATAATTAGTAACGATAACCCAGTTCGAATCACAAGGAGGAAACATCATAGTTTATATTTGATGCGTGTTCATTACTTTTAACGTACTTTAAGATAGTTTATTGAGAGTGGGTGTGGAGGTGTGCTGGGTGTGAGATATGGGATGTGGGTGTCGAGTGTGGATGTGCATATCGGTATGGGTGTGGTTTTCGGTATGGTTATCGTTAGAGTTGAGTCTTCTTTTGCCTCACACACCACACATCACGCCCACACCTTTCTTTTTTCATCAAAATGAAGAATATAAGAAAAAAGATGATCTTGTAATTGTGACTGTGTGATTTAGAAGCATAAGATACTAAAAGCGATATGGCAGTTGGTGGCATTTTCTCATGGAACTGAAAAAACTGCGATTTGTGCAACTCTATCGAATAAGTAGAAGCTTTTCAACGGCTCAAATTCAATGCAGAGAAAGAATTTTTCTCTTTCTGCTTTGTCATAGTGGCTGGAGAAAAAACGGCGAACGTTATAAAAGAACTTGTACAACTCTATTTCTCACATTTTCTCTTCGTTACTTTTCGTTCTGATCAATATTTTTCTTTTTCTCCACACACAATGGCTACAACAACAACACTGACTAATACTCAACGAACGTTTACACTTCTTCCATCACAGCAAGAACTTAACATTGGCACTCTTCAAACACTCTTTTCAGCAGAACTCTCACTCGTTAACCTAGAAAGAGCCATTGAAAAATATGAGGAGAACCACAACAATCTCAACTTCTATAGAGATATTTTACCATCGATCTGTCAATGGGCTTCAGATCATGAACACTCTTCGAAATTAGTCAAACCACTGGCTGCTTGTAATGAAGGAAAAATAGAATGTACATCAAAACAAGTTTGATATGGCCTGGCAAATGCATTCTTCTTGAATACAGTAAAAATTGATGATACAAGTTACAGTAGCGGGTGAGTAGTATGTAAGCTGCACGGTTACTTTGTCACAGTCAAGAAACGACCATGCCCAGTTTTTGGGTCTTCATCTAGCTACCCTAGCGGGGGTACTCGGATCCTCCTATGGCTAGCCTACGTGTGGTACTTGGGTCCTTATAGGGCTATCCTAGTGGGGATACTTGGGTCCTCAAGAGCTTTACTATAGGGATACCCTTAGGTTCTCAAGAGCTATACTACGGCGGTAACCTTAGGCTGTCAGGGCCTATACTATAGGGTATGCTATAGACCTTGAAAATCTAAGGGTAATCTCAAAGTATAAGACTTTCAGACCTAAGGTTATCCTTATAGTATGGCATCGGAGGACCTAAGGGTACCTCCATAGTATAGCACTTGAAGACTCAAGCACCCCTCCTATGATAGACATATGAGGACCCAAGTACCCCGCCTAGGATAGCCATAGGAGGACCCGAGTACCCCCGCTAGGGTAGCTAGACGAGGGCCCAAGAACTCAGCATGGTCGTTTCTTACCTATGGCACAAGCAGTTTCACTTTAACTTTTTTAAAGTTAAAGTGCCACCCCTACGCATACCCAAAAATGTATATTATAGTTCATTTCGTTTCTTCGCAGTTTCAGGTTTTCTTTTAATAACTCTCTTGCTTTATTTTTATATACATAACATTTCCATTTCTGTTGCACAAACTCTACAATTGGATGGGTTGATAGATAAATTTTTATTTTCTAGCTATGGATCACTCGATTTGGAAAGTTTCTATGAAAATTCATCTCGTATAGCTGTTGAACGCCTTCTGTGTTTCTTGGACTATTTTCATCAAGAACAAACTCTGCCTGATACAGAACGATTAATTACAATTGAACACTATTCTAGTGACTTATCAACAGATTAGTGCGCTTCAACTACCCAGATACAATCCGAAAATGTTCAAATTTTAACAGATCGTATGGAATCTTCTTCCGATTCGCAAGGTTTTGTTGATTTTGCCAACAAAGATATTCAAATTCATCGTATGATAGCTAGTTGTACACAGGAAGAAATTCTGTTGAGTTGCTGTCCAGAAGCATTTCTATCAATGTTACTCTATGAAAGTTTACGAGACAATGAAATTGTTATAGTAAGAGGATGCAGAAGATATGTGGAATATACAGGTGAGTATTTGTGCTAGAGATGAGGCAACTAGAGAAGGTCAAGCTGGAAAAGAAGACCAGTTTCATGAGGTCAAGCAAAATGGATTGAAAATATGCATCAAAATGTCACTCCACATGAAATATAGCATAATTACATCGATGGAAGGCGCAACTCGTGAAACATCCTTTTTCTAGTGTAGTTTTGTATGCTCATTCCAACGATGAGAACAGCGGGTCGCTATCTTATGCTAAAAACAGTTATGTAGAAAATGCTTTTCCAGCGGAAATGGTTATTTTCCAGCTAAAACCAACGTTGTTCTAGAGCTTTTTTGGACACCTTATCCATTGCGTAGAAGCTTTATTTCGACCTTAAATGAAAAATCTCGACAAGATTTACATATATCCACAAAGAGATTGAACTTTTCGTTAGTTTCACCTGTCCAAAAAAGAGCTACAAAAGTTTAGATTTTTTAGAAAAGTTGGAAGACTTCTAGAAAACTTTAGTGATTTTTCAATATCATCAATGAATTGCTTCTTCAATTCTAAACAAAATGAAACTTCTTTCGAATTTTTATTGACGAGGTAAGAGCTGTTTTCGGTGAAGATGTAAAAATATCATTTCAAAGCTGAAGATCGTATTACACGCGGATTTCATTAATGGTATAGGAATGTCGCCAAAGTTTTCTAGAAATCTGAAGAGTTTTCTGCAACATCATGCTTTCTGTGGCTCATTTTCGGTTCAGTTATATTATCGATTTGTCCAATTTATTCAGCTAACTATATAGCTTTTCACGTGATTTTTTATTTGAGCCCAAAACGAAGGATCTACGTGAGGGATAAATGGTCCAAAAAAGCTCTGCAATAAGTAGAAGTAGTGTTAACTGGAAAGTAGCCATTTCCGCTGAAAAAGCATTTTCTGCATAACTTCTTTTTGTATGAGATAGCGACTTGTAGTTTTAGCCATTGGAATCAGCATAGATAACTACGCCAGAAAAAAATGTTTCATGAATTACAGCTTCCATCGATGTAATGCTCGTATATTTCATATGGAATCACGCAAAAGAGAGCAATGATGGGTCTTGTTATCGAAGAGTAACTTAATTGAAAATAGTTTCATGATATATAATATAAGCTGTAGAATACAGAAGGTTAAATTCAATCTTATCACTATTCTAGGTTATTTCGATACATTTCGTTACGTTGGTCATTACACTTATCCGACTTCTCCTGCTATCATTCAAGATATTCTCATTATGGATGCTGTCTACGAGAATCATTTTCGACGTGATAATGTTATGCGTGATATGAATAAAGCATATCTTGCTTTCAAGAGTGCTTCTTGTTCATCAAATTACAAAATTGTAACTGGTCATTGGGGTTGTGGTGCATTTCTTGGTGATAAAACACATACATTTTTACAACAAGTTTGTGTAGCTGCTACACTGCCAATGGTCAAGTTGACCTATTCTGTTTTTATGGACGAAAATTTGGCAACGAAATTTAGATGGTTATTGAAGAAAATTAATGGAAAAATGATTAAAGAAGTAATGGAAGATGAAGATATGATTGAATAACTATCTCAAGCAAATTTTCATTCCCATTCTCCACCATCCGTCTATAGACTGCATTTTGTTGCGAAAGTTTTTTTCTTTGAGAAGATAACATTAAACTAGAGAAATACCCACTTCGTGCTTGCAGAAAAAAATGAGCCTTGACCTGTGTCATATGAAAGACAAAAGATCATGTTGGTGCTCAAACGTTCTTTTTGTGTACTCAAAAAGTGAGTACACTACTAAAATCGGTCTGTGTGTCCGTCCGGCCGTCCGGCCGTCCGGCCGTCCGTATACACGATAACTTTCGAAAGGAGAGCCAGATCGCGATGAAATTTTTTGCACAGTTCAGTCTTTACAATATCTCGGTCGAGTTCGAAGATGAGAAGAATCCGTCGAGAAATGACTGAGTTAAAAAAAAAATTGTGATTTTTGACCAGACCATCCCTGAGGGGGAGTACAGGGATTTTTTCAAAAAAAAAAAAATTTTCTCTGAATTGTTCACAACATATATAAATCGACTCAGTTTTTAACGCTGATTCTGAATCTGATATTAGTTTTGAACCGAATCATAGTTTTGTGTACTCAAAAAGTGAGTACACTATAGAATAGTCAGTGTGTCCGTCCGTCCGATTGGCTGTTTGCATAATAACTTTTGACAGCAGAGTCAGATTGTGATGAAACTTTCTACACAGCTTAGTCTTGACAATAGCTCGGTCGAGTTCGAAGATGAGAAAGACCGGTCGAGCCGTTCCTGAGTTATTGCAAAAATACCCATTTTTCCCTATAGCTTTCTGTGGAAAAATGGACCCATCGCGACTTTCGTAAAAGAC